GGGAAGGGGTTCATTCTTCTTCTCTGGATAGTGCATGCACCCTCTGCCAATATAAAAAGAAATTGCATGAGAAGTTTAAGGCTGCTGCCGGCATCCCACAGTCTGTTTTATGGTACAGTTTTTTAAATATAAATAGGAGTAAACTCTTAAATAATGGTAATAGTATAATAAATACATAAACCAGTAATATAGTCATTTATTATCATTCTTATATATTGACCATAATTATATGTGCTATTTTTATAAGAATGTTAGCACAGTAGGTGTTTACACTGGCATCCCCACAAACATGTGAGTAATGTTTTGCTCCACTATGATGTTAAGGTGGCTATGATGTCACTAGGTGATAGCAATTTTTTAGCTCCATATAATCTTTTTTCTTTAAGAATTATTTTATTTAACTTTATTTTAATTTGACCAGAGAGGGACAGAGAGAAAGTGCAAGCCACCAGGTCCAAGTCTCGAACCATGGTCAACCATGGGGGAGTCCAGCGCCCTTAACCACCACGCCACCTGCCGACCCCAGCTCCATATAATCTTACAGGAGCTGTTTCATAGTCTGTTATTTATGTGGCACATGACTGTATTAGGAAGAATGAAAAGTAAGGGCTTGCAAACAAGATCAAGCCAGGCCTAAGGATGATTAATGGACTGCCCACGATGAAGATTCTGTAGTTTTTGGACTAAGTCTCAAATTTGGATGTAAAGTTTCAGCTGCCAGGACAAAGTAGAAACCATCATCAGTAACTTTAGTACATAGTGGTTATGTTTTCATTTTTTTCTAATCTTAAATTTTCTTCCATCCTTTATTAAAGCAGCTGTTTTAAAGTTTGCATGGCCACTGTCTTAAAATATATTTTATTTTCTTCTACTTTTATCATATAGAACCTGTAAGTATTATGCTACTGATAACCTGAGGTTTTCTTCATCACTAAGAATATTTCCATTTCTGTAAATGACATTTTAGAAGTTATTCAAGGAAATAAACCTAACCACAGGTAAATTCTTCAGATGAAAATTTTGGTATGCTGTCACCCCTGAGGCTCCACAGGGCATCAATGAGCATATTACTGAAATTACTGTGGTTTGACATCTGGCTTACAGGCTTTGAGATGTGATTTTGTCAATACACTATGAATAAATCATTTAAGTTAAACTTACTAGATTTGTAATACTGAATTTCCAATCTATTTATATAAAGTAATTATCAGAAAGCTCAGATATTGGAAGACTCATTCCTAAAACATTTCCTTCCTCTGATCAAACTACCTGAATTACCAAATGAAACTCAGAAATTAAATATCCAAAGTTCATTTATCAGCACATTTATTCTTGCTTTAAGCAGAGACTTATGAAACTCAGACATAATCAGAAGGTTAAATAACCAACAAAGAACCAGAAGAGACATCGGACAAAATTCGACAATATTTGAATCTATCTCTGTGTGATGAATCCATGGTTTTTACTGCCCAAAGGGAACCGGGGAGGCTTTGATTTCTAGACAGGGTGCTATGGTTTGAATGTATATGACCCTCCAAAATTCACATTGAAATTTAATTCCCAATACAATAGTTAAAATTGTTGATTTGTATATTCATGGGAAGACTATGTCTAGAAATTGTTTTCTAAAAGTTCTCTCATAATACAGAGAGGCTCAAACACTGTCATAAATGAGTATATGAAAAAAATACTAAAGTCAAAACATGGTTCTATAATGCTTTTAAGCCAGGATATCCTAGAGTGAATTGATCAGTAGAACTCAAGAGTCAAGATTAGAGGAGAGAGCCATTGGTGTGAAGAAACAGTAATACTATAAAGAGGAAGTAGTCAAGACAAGATGTTTCTGAAGCAAAAGAACACTAAATGGATGTACTATGATATGGATGGGAGTGTCAGGGTGAGGAAATCAGACCACCACCAAGCTTGGGCATGCTTGCTACACCTCTTATTTAATACACCCCAACCGTCCACCACTAAAATGCATCTCACAGCACCCACAGTGGGTCCTCTTAATAACACCACTCCCTTTGAAAATAATTGCAAACATAATGCAGATAAAAACACTGCACTTCACCATATTTTTTTTTTTTTTATTTTAGAGATTTTGACACAGGGTGTGTGTGCTTGCCAGAGAGACAGAAACAGACAGAAAGCAAGAAATCACCCCCTTCCCCCCAAGAGGAGATGGCCATACCACAATCCCTTCTCCTCCATTTTCCTTTTGGAATTTTGGGCAAGCATATGCGCCAGGCATGAGGTTTAAGCTGCCGGGCCTGGGACTCGAACCGTGGTCAACTACATGAGAGTCCAGCGACATAACCATTATGCCATCTGCTGGTCCCTCACAATTTAATTGGAAAGAAATGAATACAGGCATTCACTTCTTTTACTACTATTTGTTTATGCTAAATTCTTAATTAAAATTCTAGGGGCCAGCAGGTAGTGTAGAGGTTAAGACACTGGACTCCCACATGCCTGACCACAGTTCAAGTCCTGGACCTGGCAGCCTGAAACTCACACAGGGCACATGTGCATACATGCCCAAAATCCCAGGAGGAGAATGAAGGAGAAGTGATGGCAATATGGCCAACCACTCTACAGGGGTGATTTCTTATTTTCTCTCATTGTCTCTAGTCTCTCTCTGGCAAGCTCACACACCTTACATCAAAAAGTTTACAAAAAAAAAAAAATCTAAATTCTACCATGGCCTTATATATGTATGTAATATAAAAAGGTGTTTCTTGTTTTTGCTCTTTCCCCAATCCATTTCCCCTTCCTAATAACACCCTCGATTTCTAACCCTACCACAACTATCGGCTATGTTGGATGATATATCATGCCTAACCACAAGGATATCCCAAGAAAAGAAAACAAAACTTCCAGTCAATGAAGAGAAATTTCTAGGACTTCTAGAAAAGATGGGCTCTTTTAGCCCGTTCTTGGTCTGGATGCAGAGTCTGAGGACGTAATGTGGAATCACTCACCCTATCATTGCAGAGTTGGAGAGTCTATAAGGATCTGAAGGAAAAGCCAACACTGGAAAGGGTAGAATGAAGGTAAGTCCTTGCTGACACTGTGGGAGCTGCTTGATCTAGACTGACTCAAAGATAGGGCTATCTCTAATTTTTTCAATTATGTCATCAAAAAAATTATCTTTGGGGGCTAGCCATGTGGTGTGATGGTTAAGTCCCAACCCAGTAGCTTGAAAAACACACAGGGCACATGTGAATGCATGCCCAAAACCCCAAGAGAAGAGTGAAGGACAAATGACAGCGGTGTGGTCATCCACCCTGGGGGGTGCGTTCTCACTTTCTCGTTCTCTCTCTCCCTTTCTCTCTCTTCAGTGAGCACAGAAGCCCTATAGCAAACTTTAAACAAACAAAAAAGTTTTCTTCGCTGTTTAAATTTATTTTTAAGAGAGGTTTTGTTTTGTTTTGTTTTGCTTTGCTTTGTTTTGTTTTGTTTTGCTATAGGGTGCATACTCTCACCAGAGAGACAGAGACAAAAAGTGAGAAATCACCCCCCGGGGGGATGAACACGCTGCAATTCCTTCTCCTCCCTCTTCTCTTGGGATTTTGGGAATGCAAGGACACACACCTGGCATCAGTTTCAAGCTGTTGGTACATGACTCAAAGCATGGTTGGCATGTGAGAGTCCAGTGACATAACCATTACACCATCTACTGTGAAAAAGCAATTTTAAGCCTCTGTTACATGTATCTGCTTAATTCCTGATCAGTATAATATATAATCAAGACACTTTCTTACCTCAGCAAGTTTACTCTGAAATGACAAGTAAACAAATTATGTTTTAGTAAAGAAATACACTGTACACAAGATAATATATAGTCATCATACATAAAATTCTAAAAGTGAGAAATGGAAAACCAAGTTATGGTTAGAAATGAATGAGAGTGAATTTGATTTGCTGTTAAGATAAAAGGCAAGAAATCATGTGAAATATCCAGGCACCTGTCAGGTCAAGAGATCCCACAAAACCCTCAAGTCACATTTAGTGATACTGGCAGAGATCTCTCTCTTTCTTTTTTTTTCATTGTCAAAATTATTTATTATACTTAATTTATAATCCCCATTTGCTGACTCAAGGGAATGAACAGGATTAGAACAGCCAGAGACACTGCAAATACTCTATCTCACATGATATTACAAACTAAGTGTCTTCCAAACCACATTCAAGAAGCTAATGATATGCTCTTGGCAGTTTTCAAGAAATAGTAGTCAAACCATAATTCAGTTTCCGGGTACCAGTCGATATCTACGGAGCACCTCCCTGTAGTTAGCATTGGGTCGGGTACTTAAAGATGGAGTTTGAATACATTTTAAAAATACTTATTTAAGGCTTATAATATTCTTCCCAGAATGTTTGGCAGAGTTGTATTTTGAGGACTCTACTGCTGAGAAATGTGAGGTTCCTGTTTTCTCTCCTTCAGTCCCAAAAGCTCCGTTTTGAGTCCTCCAGGGTTTGGTGTTATTTCAGGTACTGTCAGGTCGGATCGGTAGTACCTGTGTACCACTTCTGCCCCGCACAGATGGCCAGGAGGCTGGCCACGAACATTTTCACGTAGGTGGGCCAGGGCACGCCCGCGGGCATGGTCTGCAGGCTGGACGGGGAGGGAATGGGCAGCGCTGGCAGGTCACGAACAAGCCGCGTCTGGACGAGGCACTCCGGTTAGGGCGAGCAACCAACCCCACCGCAACAGAGGCGTGGGGGTGGGAGCACCCCAGTTCTCTCCCACCCTCGCATCTGGCCTTCCTCCCAGATACTTTTTTTTTTCAAAGAAGTATTTCATTTAACCTTATTACCATTATTTTTAAATATGATCAGGGAGAGAGAGAGAGAAGGAAAGTGAGAAAGCAAGCCACCAGGTCCAAGACTGAAACCACGTTGGCCATGTGGAAGATCCAGCACCTTTAACCACCATGCAACCTGCTGGCCCACAGAGATCTCTCAATGTCCAAGGAAAAAAACACATTTTTGCATTATGCTTAAACTACGGCATTTTATTAGCTACCTTTACAACTTAAATTATAATACTTTGGTTACCAAAGGAACAGCTTCCACTAATTCCAAATTAAGCTTTCAAAAATTTACTTGTTGGAAGAGGAAGATTCTCATGCTCAACACAAAATACCTTTACTATAACCTTCAGCAAATCTTTTTTTAGAGATAACTTTTAAAAAAGTGCTCAGGTCAAATATCAGCTACCTTAAAAAAACAATTTAATTACTTTTCCTTAAAACATGTGCAATGCAGTTGAATCACAAGGGAGAACTGCAAATATTTTGTGGTTTGGCAAGAAGTGAAATTCATTTCATGATGATTCAATATTATTAACACTATTTCTGGGACTTTACATAAAACTGAGCAAAGTAAATCCATGTATAACATTTCAAAGGGAAAGCTGATTTTTTAAATGAAAGTGCAGGTATTAGCCTCATTTTTGCTGGCTGTCAACTTGAAATTTTTGCAAGAGTGATTATAAATACATCTTTGCAGCTATTATCCATTTAATTTTTTCTCTCACTTAAAAAAATATCAATTGCACAATGCTTCTTCAACTGAATAACTGAATTCTTTTAAAAAGGAGGTTAGCTATTTTGCTGCCTTTGGAAACATTGTAGAAATTCTGACCCATCATTCTTTTATCTGCAAAGAAAAGAAAAAGGCATCTGCTATAATTTAATGGATCACATTATACAAACAACAAAGGAAAGATAACAATGAAATCATTATTATGTCAAGATACTTTTTTCTTTTTCCCATAATGTTCTCCCTTCCTCAGTCACGCTATTTCTAAGATTCACTATGATCTCTCCATTACTTTCCACAGGAAACTCTTATTTTTAGAACGTTCTTTTATAAAGAATTCCATGACAAAATACAAGCAAGTCAAGCACATGTGCCCTGTGGCAAAAATCTAATAAAATCAAATAAAACAAGGTTTACATAATACATGTGTAACTGAATGGTGCTTAAGGCACTGAACTCCCACATGACCAACTGAGGTTTTCTTTAATTCTTTTTTTTTTTTTTTTTGAGAGGTTTTTGCTATAGGGCGCATGCGCTCGCCGGACAGACAGAGAGAGACAGAGAGACAGAAAGTGAGAAATCACCCCCCAGGGGGGATGGCCATGCCACAATCCCTTCTTCTCCATTCTCCTCTTGGGATCTTGGGCACGCACGCACACGCGCCCGGCATGAGTTTTAAGCCACTGGGTCCAGGACGCGAACCACGGTCAACTACATGGGAGTCCAGTGACATAGCCATTACACTAACTGCTGGTCCCTGAGGTTTGTCTTGGACGTGGCAGCTTGCTTTCTCACTCTCTTTCTCTCTCATGGACATGTGTGCCCTATAATAAATTTAATATTATTATTAATAATAATAAATAAAAGTAAGTAATTCTTTAAAATAGAAACAAAAAAACCCAAGAAGAATGCATGACAGACTAAATGTGATGTCGATGAAGATGATGACATTAGCTAGCATTTATCAACAGCTTTTAATGTGTCAATTCCTGTTTCAAGTGCTCTGTATGGATTGTTTGATTTCAGAACTCTTGCAGGTAGATTCTCTTATCTAATTTTTTAAAAAATTTTTTTAGGTTTTTGCCACAGAGAAAAGGAAAGTGAGAAATTTTTCCCTGTGGGGAGTGGCCATGCCACAACCCCTTCTCTTCCATTCTCTGCTCAAGACTTTGGGTACACATGCAACAAGCGCCCAGCACATCTCTCATGCCACCAAGTTTGGGAATCTAACCTCCGTCAGCCATATGCAAATCTAGTGCCTTAATCATTACTCCAACTGCTGGCCCCCATGTTTTTCTGAGAGATTTTTGGGTGTGTTTACCAGAGAGACGGAAAACAATAAATCATTCCCCCAAGGGGATGACCCAACTGAGGTCCCCTCTCCCCCATTCTCCTCTTGGGATTTTGGGCATGCATGCACATGTGCCCAGCCTGAGTTTAAAACTGCTTGGTCTGGGACCTGAACTGCAGTCAGCCATGTGGGAGTCCAGCACCTTAACCACCATGTCCCCTATTTTTATAGATGAACAAATTGAAGGAGAAATGGCCTTGTGCTGCTAGGTGTCAATGGAACAAGAACACAAACAGGAAGTCTAACTCTGGAGGCTATTCTCTTCACCTCTACCCCATACTGCCTTCCACAGGAATTTTACTTAAATGACTCAAGTAAAGTTTCTTGGTGCTTTAGATGCTTAAAAAATAAGGTTTACAGGGGCCAGAAGGTGGCACAATGGTTACAGGCTGGACTCCCACAGGGTTGACTCCAATCTGAGTCATGGACCCGGTGGCTTAAAAATCACACAGGGTATGTGTGCATGTGCGCCCAAGATCCCCGGAGGAGAATAGAGAAGGGATTGATTGCAATGTGGTCATTCCCCCGAGGGGTGATTTCTCACTTTCCCTTTCACTGACTTTCTCTGTCTGTCTCTCTGGCAAGTGCACGTGCCCTATGGCAAAACCTAAAAAATAGGGACCAGCAGTTGGTGTAATGGCTATGTAACTGCGCTCCCATGTAGTCGACTGTGGTTTGAATCCCGGGCCCGGTGGCTTAAACTCATGCCAGGCGTGTGTGCCTAAGATCCTGAGAGGAGAATGGAGGAGAAGGGATTGTGTCATGGCCATCTCACCTTCAGGGGGGTGATTTCTCAGTCTTTCTGGAGAGCGCACGTACCTTATAGCAAAAAAAGAAAAAAAAAAAAAAAAAACAAACCACAACAACAACAAAAAAAACCTCTCCAAAAAATGAAAATAAAAAACTAATAAAATAAAGTTTACATAATACTGAATTTTGATGCAACAAAGCTCTGTGTTCAAATATAATCAATTTAATGAACTAAAGAGTTTTATGAAAAAAATAATATAGAGCACTGAAGTCCTTTTAAAATATAGTATTCATAACTCATATTATGATTTTTAAATTAATGAAATTTCGTTTCTGCCACTTTTCTCTAAAATTCAACTGGATCTTGAATTATATAATAGACATTCTTCAGAAACATGGCTAATGTTAATAAAACTTTTTGACTGAATCATTTCAAAAGTACTGAGAGCCAGTTTTTAAAGAAAAATATAATGAGGGCTCTCCTATTAAACAAAATGATTATTCCCAATTCATCTAGCTCCTAAAATCTATACTGTTATAATCTGAATTGGTTACTTAAAGATCTATTTGCCAGTAAGTTTTCTTTAATTTCGAACAACATGAGTGGTAGAGAAAACAGTCTGGAAGTCTCAGTATGAAAAGTTCTAAGATCAAACATTTTCTTCCCACCATTATTTTTATTTTTAATTTGCCAGAGGATATGTCCACGTGCCAGAGAGAGACAGGGAAAATGGGCAAGTATCCCCCACAAAGATGGTCATGCCACAACCCCTTCTCCTTCATCTCTCCTTTCTTTCAGGATTTTAAGCATGCACATACATGCACCCAACATGTTTATTTGCACTAATATTAACTCACTTTCTTTTTTTTTTTTTTTTTTTTGGAGAGGTTTTTGCTATAGAGCGCGTGTGCTAGCCAGAAAGACAGAGAGACAGGGAGAGAGACAGAAAGCGAGAAATCACCCCCCAGAGGGGATGGCCATGCCGCAATCCCTTCTCCTCCATTCTCTTCTCAGGATCTTGGGCACACATGCACACGCGCCCAACGTGAGTTTAAGCCACCGGGTCTAGGACTCGAACCACAGTCGACTCCATGGGAGTCCAGGGACATAGCCATCAGGCCAACTGCTGGTCCCCACCCAATATGTCTTCAAGCCACCATGTCCAAGACTTGAACTAGACAGTCAGCTGTGTGGGATCCAGTTGCCTTGATCACCATGCCACCAGCTGGTCCATCGTTTTTCAAATATAACATTTTATTTTCTTGTTCTAATACCCAGTGTCTCCTTAAAGCCATAAAAGCTCAGTAATCATGCCTAAAAGGTTAAAAAAAAGACATCATAACCATAAATATATAATCAGTTACTTTAAAATACCTCAGTGATGGGACTGGTAGGTGGGGTTGTGGTTAAGGCGCCAGATTCTCACATGGCCGACTGTGGTTTGAGTCCCAGAACTGGCAGCTTGCTTTCTCACTTTCTCTTTTTCTCTCTGGTCAAATTAAAAAATAATAATCATAAATAAAATTAAATAAATAAGTCTTACAAAAATAAATACCTCAGTAACAACGCCAGCAGCTATTGTAGAACCACTGTACCGCAGCATGAATCTCCCCAGCTCTTTAAAGTCTTTGTATAGCTCAAGAGCTATGGGTCTTTGTGTCTGTAGCTCTACCAATGCATTCTGACCTTTAGTTAACAACCTATTTAAAAAAAAAAAAAAAGGCAATAAATATACAATTGATGTGAATAAATCTAATAGCCTGAGCATAAGTATTTCACATTCAATTGATAATCTACTTAATCTTTCAAACCCCCAAAAGAAAAAGACTTTTTAAAATAAAAATGTATGACTTTGAATTTTTCTAAATTAACTGAAAGAAACAAGAGGAGCAGTTCTATTTTTATTTAAAAAACATTTTTTGAGAGGTTTTAGCTGTAGGGCGTGTGCGCTAGCCAGCCAGACAGAGAGAGACAGAGAGAGAGAAAGCAAGAAATAACCCCCGGGGGGCTGGACACATTGTAATCCCTTCTCCTCCATTCTTGTCTCGGGATCTTGGGCACGCATGCACATGTGCCCGGTGTGAGTGTGAAAAACTGGGTCCGGGACTTGACCCACGGTCGACTACAAGAGTCCAGTGACAGTCATTACACCAACTGCTGGTCCCAAGGAGCAATTCTAGATATCAGAAATATTAACTAGTTCATATGTATAGTTTTACCAATCTTCCAAATATAACTCTCCCTTGAAGGACCACTATAATGTAAAATGCTCATGGTCCCTCCTGATCAATGCTTTTCCTTTCATTCCCTCAAGAAATTGAGAAGTAAAATTAGTAAATAAAACAGTGACATTAAGGCTTAATCCTATAAGGAAGTATATGCAATTATTTTTTATTTTTTAAAGGACTTTTTAAAAAGAATTATTATATGTATGTATGTATGTATGTATTTTAATTTGGCCAGAGAGGGTCAGAGTGAGAAAGTGAGAGTGAGAGAGACAGAGACAGAGACAGAAAGTGAGAGAGAGAAATTGAGAAGGCAAGCCACCAGGTCCAGGACTCAAACTACACTTGGCTATGTGGGAGTCCAGCGCCCTTCACCACTATACCACCAGTCTGCCCCAGCCATGTGCATTTAAATAAGGAGTATAGTGTATTTTCTGCCTTCTTTTAATTATTTCAGAGGTTACATGTGCTCACCAGAAAGAAACAGGGAAAG